TAACCGGGTGACCCATCGCGAATGCGTTGCACCCTTCACAAACACGAAGGTCTAAACTCCCATGGGCCAGTTCCCCATAGCGAACGCGATGACCAATCACGAACGCGAAGCATAAATCAGCAGCCAATCAAAACCTTCTTCGCGAATGCGTGAACTCCTTTGCGTTCGTAAAGAATGAAACCAGAACCAGATATCAGCAGCAGCAACTCAGCCCAACTTGACCCGAAACAATCCCGAAACATACCCGGGACCCCGTCGAATCACACAAACCAGTCCCATAACATAACACGGACCTGCTCGAGGCCTCAAATCACATTAAACATTATCGAAGTCATAAATCGTACCCCAATTCGAGCTTAATGAACTTTAGAACTGCGAACTATCACATTCGATGCCGAAACCTATCAAATCACGTCCGATTGACCTCAAATTTTGCACACAAGTCACATTCGACACTACGGACCTACTCTAACTTTTAGAATCGGAATCCGACCCCGATATCAAAAAGTTCACTCCCGGTCAAACTTCTCAAAAACTTTCAAATTTCTAACTTTTGTCAAATGACCCCGAAATGACTTACGGACCTCCAAATCCACATCCGGACGCGTTCCCAATACCAAAATCACCATACTGATCTATTCCCAGACTCGAAATCCCAAACGTACATAAATAACATTGAAAGTCACTTCAACCCAAATTTATGAAATTCTTCCAAAACGCTAACCTTCCACAATAGGCGGCGAAATGCTCCCGGGTCATCCAAAACCTAATCCGGATATACGCCCAAATCTAAAATAATCATATGAATTTGTTGGAACCTTTCAATCCCGATTCTGAGGTTGTTTACTCAAAAATCAAACCTTAGTCAATTCTTCCAACTTAAAGCTTCCGAAATGAGAGTTTTTTTTTTAAATCAACTCCGAACTTCCCGAAATTCAATTCTGACCACGCGCACAAGTCATAATACCTGAAGTTAAACTACTCAAGGCCTCGAACTACCGAATGACACACTAGAGCTCAAAATAATTTGTCGGGTCGTTACAGGATGAGTCCCTTTTCCCTGGTTAGTGATATTTCCATAAGAGTTTCCTACAAGAATGTCTTTGGCAGGTTGTTTTGCTTGAGTATTTCTATTTTGTAGAGTTGTTTGGAGCATGTTTAGATTGCAATTGTTCTCTCTTCTTGTCTGCTTTCTTGGCGTTGGTGTTAGCATTTGAGCTCACTGCCTGGAAGGCTTTCTTTTTCTTGTTAATCTTGTTTCTAACTTGAGTAAATCCATCATCTTTTTGGTTCTCATTGTTTTTTGTTCCTCCACTATATTGGGCTTAATTCCTGCATCTCCAGAGTTGTGATCCCTCGCCCGGTTTTCATTTTCCTCGACCTTTTCATTGTCCCTGTTAGCTCTAGCTTGTTCCCTTTTTCTTGCCTTAACCTTGCACCTTTCAAAATGATGACCCTACAATTTGCATGTTTACATAAAGCTGGAACTCCCACGTACTCTAATTTTTTATCTCTACCCTTCAGACTTGATGTATCTCCTTCAATACCCACAAAGACAGAATCCGATAGAGGTTTCATCGAGTCCACTTCGACCCTAACTTTAGCCATGTGGGGTCTGGTTCTCGCAACGGTGTTTATGTCCTCCTTCATTGGAGTGCCAATTTGTTCTAATACTTGTCTTAAATTGTCCCATTTAAACACATGAATTTTGGCAATAGAACCCATATAGGGGTCAGAGACATTTATTCATTGGGGTCGAAATCGGGGGACCATTTGAACATTTGCATTAGGGATCTAGTGATTCCCATGAAACGTTGGAAATAGGCAGTGTCAAAGTCTGATTCATTGTTAAATTCAATGAAAACATATCTACCGTTATAAGACCCAATTCTTACCTAACCTTTCAGAGGGATTTATTCTATGAATTTTACCCAAATAGTTTCAATTTTGGGTCTGCCTATTGTGAATTTTCCGACCAGCGTCCATTTGCAATCCTCCGCTGTCACCCCATAGTAGTCGGAGGCGTTGAAGATGACTGCCGGTTTGCCATTGTGGTCATTTTCCTTGCAACCACAGTATTGGTGGTAGTTGTGTTTCTAAAGCTGGAGGTCCCGGTTACATCATTATAGTATGAGATTTTTGGGTCAGGTGTACCCACCAGTGGCCTTATGTTTGTAGGAGGATCCTTTGGTTGTGCGATACGCGCCTGTTGGCCGGTCTGAATTGGTTCCATAATGCGTCGCATGAGTTCACACCTTAGCTGTTGAATATGATACCGTTGAGAGAGATTTTTAGAGAGAGAATTTTTTGTCAGTCATTTGTTAACATCCTTTCAATGCCTTGTTGTGCAATACTATGGGGTTCTTGAACTCGAGACCTTTAGTTATGCAATAATGGTTCTCTTCGTTGGGATGTCAGCAAGTTAGGTAGCTCCAAGGGTGAAGCCTACGACACCCCTTGATGGTAATAGATACACGATATGTGTTTGCGAATATATGTTGCAAGTTACCTACCTCATTTTTCAGGTTGATATTTTTCACTTAATGTAAATAGTCACCTATAATTATCTTTTAGGTAATCTAATAGCATATAATATTTTTGCATTATTAGCATAAAATTTAAAATATTTTACCTAAGCACACTACTTTAAAAGAGCGAGGACTTTTTACAATTCTTTAACCCCTCGCTTTATGTTCTGCAAGTTGCTTGCAGGTGTATTATTTTATATATAACTTCGGTTAATTTGTTGTCTATTGATGCCAAAAATGCATATAGTTAACCATTATTGCCTCATGTCTAGTACTTTTAATCGCCTTTTGAGTATTAATTATATTATTTTATGCTTAATATTATATTTTAACTATGTATAAATAAAGCGATGTGAAGATGAAGAGATTTGGAGAAAAATTGAATAAAATGCGAAAGAAAAACAAAGGAAAATAAAATAATTAAATAGAAAAAGACAGGGGGGACACCCTTTGGTGTTTGACCCCCAAAGTATAAGACAAAGAAAAGGAAAATGCAATTCAAAGAGTGAAAATGACAAAACGTACTGGATCCAGTACTAAGGCCAACGCCTCGCGTAGCGGGATTTTTTCTATTTCGGCCCCAACTCATATAGAAGGGGTTCTAAACCTAATTTGGAGGGGATCAAACATATTTTTGAGAGGAGAACACACAACTTTTGACTAAGGGAAAGCACAGAGCTGCCGTGGAGCGAGGCCGAGTTTCATCTTTTCTTCCACCAAACTTAATAATTTTTATATTTTTTGTATGATTTGTTGTTTGGCTACCATGTCTATGTGGATCTAAATTTCACGTTCTAGAGTTGTGGTTCTTTCATGACTATTGTTATTCAAATATTGATTTTGATTTCTTGATTTATCGTATTAGTTTATTTATTCAATCTTGCGCTTAATTATTTAATTGTCTGATCACCAATTGAATACTATCTACGAATCTAGAGTTGAACTCGAAAGTGGAAATTCTAGATTGCATATATGATTGAGTAGAGCAAGTTCTTGAACCAGGCATCGGGGAATGAATTCGCGGTTAGGATAGACATATGCTAATTGCCTTGCTTGGTTATTATATGGGAATTACAAATGCATTCTTGTTGATTCTAACTCTATAGACATATACGAGTTAGGTTAGCTTGAATAGGCGAGTAAGAACTCGATAGATTCTTATGAGCAATATTAACCCTGTCAACCAATAAACCAGATAAATTAATTAGTCAATTTAATTGAATAATACAATAGGATTGTTAGATAACCCATGACTCTAGATCATTTTCATCACATTGATAATATAAAAATCTCATCTTCCTCTGTTGAAAGTTTATTAGTTATTTTCTTTTTAGTTTAATTAGCTTAGTAACATTACTTTTGGGGTGAATCCTTGTTTAGATAATTAGGACCGTCTAGTTTGATTAATAGTTGATAACAAGTCCCTGTGGATTCGACACTTTATCTTATTACTTTATTACTTGACGACCGCGCGTATACTTGCGTGTGCGTTTGGCCGCAACAAGTCTAGTACATATTTTATTAAAGCCATGAATGACCATTAATTAAGAGGGCGAGCCAATGTGCCCAAATACGAGATCAGGCAATAATCAAGTAGATTAGCTTGACTCAGTTTAATTTGGAGAACAGCGATTAGGAAGTTGCTACTTATCCAACTGATAATATCCCATAATACGGATGTCCTGATAATCAAACAGGATAGAGGAATCTTGAAGGCAGGAAGCCAGGAACCATCTGCCACTTGATTTGCTTCTCTAAATCAGTGATTTACCTCAAAATTTTGGTTTGAGATTAAAATCTTTGCGGTGTCCTCTATAAATGCTTTGAGTTTGCAATTAACTGCTGTGTAATTAAGCATATTTGCCAATACGAGGGAGTCCAATTCTAGTTCAATTTCTGTGTTATTTGTATTTTATATATACATGTGATACATTTCTTGTAATTCTCATCCATTTCACATGGTTCATTTGTAGTACAAATACAAATTAACTGTTGATACAAGCTAAGATATTTTATTTTGCCTAATGCCTTCCACTCGGGCATTACGTTGTTTCTCTTATTACATGACTGTCTCATCTCTAAGTGCAACCACCTGATGTAGATGAGTTCTTTTTTTCTTTTTTCTTTTTTCTTTTATATCATTTCTGCTGGCCATTGTCTGGGTACAAGGAATTCCCCCTGTTCCTGCAATCAACATTACTTACGATACTTAAATTAATTTGCCAATCTTGCAGCGCTGCCGAATTTTGAAGTTTTCAGATTTTTAGTGATAAGTGAGCCATCATATTATACGAGTATATTGACAGTACAAGGTCTGTCCATTTTTGGTTTCTTAACACTGAGGGCAGCAAAGATTTACCTTTTTTAATCGTTCTATTTAATACTTTTTTCTTGTCAATCTAGTTCTTTTATTTCTTTGTAGTATGTATTATGATCAATTCCCGTGTGATCTTCCTTGCAAAAGTTTACTAATCTGCCCAAACCACTATTGCTTATTATTGCATGCATGCAACTTATAGAGTACAGAAATTTGCTGACCACTTTAATTAATACTAGTACTTAAATGCAAGCATCATACCTTAATTTTGCTATTAAAGGAAACGATAATACACTTAAGGTGCAGCATTTCTTTGCTGCAATTCTTTTGCCTTCACGATGTATCATCTTCCCACCACAATTTGATTACATTATTTTTAGTAGTGTAGGTAAGAAGAGGGAAATTTTTAGATTTCAAATGGTAATTAGAATGAGCAATCAAGGGGCGTAGCCACCACCGTGTCCACCACCTTCACCACCTCCAGCACCTCCTCCATATCCACCAGCATGCTCACCTCCTCCAGCGTAGGCTCCACCTCCACCGGCACCACTACCGCCACCACCGCCTCCATATGCTCCTCCTGCACCACCACCGGCTCCTCCTCCACTACCGTATCCACCAGCTGCTGCTCCTCCAGCATAAGCACCACCGCCACCACCTGCATGCCCACCTCCACCACCATATCCACCTCCTGGTGCCCCACCAGCACCATAGCCGCCACCACTGCCTCCTCCTGCGCCTTCAGCATATCCACCACCATGTGCTCCACCTGCAGCTGCTCCGCCGCCACCACTGCCTCCACCACCTCCAGCACCATAACCACCACCAGGTGCTCCTCCAGCACCATATCCGCTACCACCACCTTCACCACCACCACTTGCATGTCCAGCATCGTGTCCTCCACCAGCATAGCCACCTCCTGCCCCGCTTCCACCACCACCTCCTCCAGCATATCCAGCACCATGCTCTCCTCCAGCTGCATAGCCAGAACCACCACCGGCTCCGCCTCCACTGCCACCTCCGCTGGCATAACCATGGTCACCTGCAGCTCCATATCCACCACCTCCACCGGAACCTCCTCCACCACCACCAGCATAGCCTCCAGCAGCAACACCACCACCAATGCCATGGCCTGCACCATAGGCGCCTACCTCACCCCCAACACCTACATGATCATAAGTGAGGAGTGTTCTAGCAGCTGAACATATTCCTATACCCAACAACAGAAAGAAAACAATGTTAACAACTTTAAGCTTCGCCATTGCAATGTAGTTGAATGCTACAAAATCGACTTGGGATAGAATGCAAGAATCGGAGGCTATTTATAGATGTAGAAACGCGTCTATATGCACAAATCACATGCAAAAGAACAAAAGGAAACTCCTTTTGTCCCTACAATTAAGTGGTCCACTTCACTAACATCCTCACAGAATTGACATCATTTCGTCTTAATTCAATCTCTACTCCAAGTAGACCAGCTAGTGTGCTTGTGCTGTCTCCCATATTCGTTAAGTATACAGTATAAATATTTCTTAATTCTTTATTTTTGATATATCTCGTAGTTGGAACTTGGAAGCCCGAATCAGTTTCCTGAATTCCTCCCAAACTAATTATATATTTTAGTTCCACTTAATCGAAACGGTTCTTTATGTTTAATATACTTTATTTTGTGTCACGTTCTCTAATTTTGAATTGGAAAAATGTGATGCGTCATTGAATTAGGCCGATTAAGATTAGAGTTCTTATTCAACCGGGGCTTGCTAATTTTTGAGCTTCTATGAATTTAACTTATATGCACTTGTGGTAAAAATATATTGCCCAATATTTACACTAAATCAATTGATGCATGATACATTATTTGTTCAATCATTCGATATTCGAAGTGANCTCCATATCCACCACCTCCACCGGAACCTCCTCCACCGCCACCTGCATAGCCTCCACCAGCAACACCACCACCAGCGCCACCACCAATGCCATGGCCTGCACCATAAGCGCCTACCTCACCCCCAACACCTACATGATCATAAGTGAGGAGTGTTCTAGCAGCTGAACATATTCCTATACCCAATAAAAGAAAGAAAACAATGTTAACAACTTTAAGCTTCGCCATTGCAATGTAGTTGAATGCCACAAAAACGACTTGGGATAGAATGCAAGAATCGGAGGCTATTTATAGATGCAGAAACGCGTCTATATGCACAAATCACATGCAAAAGAACAAGAGGAAACTCCTTTTGTCCCTACAAATTAAGTGGTCCACTTCACTAACATCCTCACAGAATTGACATCATTTAATTTTAATTCAATCTCTACTCCAAGTAGACCAGCTAGTGTGCTTGTGCTGTCTCCCATATTCGCTAAGTATACAGTATAAATATTTCTTAACACTCTACTTTTCTTAATTCTTTATTTTTTATATATCTTGTAGTTGGAAGTCCGACTCAGTTTCATGAATTCCCCCCGGACTCTAATTATATATTTTAGTTCCACTTAATCGATACGGTTCTTTATGTTTAATATACTTTATTTTGTGTCACGTTCTCTAATTTTGAATTGGAAAATGTGATGCGTCATTATTGAATTAGGCCGATTAAGAGTAGAGTTCTTATTCAACCGGGGCTTGCTAATTTTTGAGGGTTTTGTTCAACCATGCAATATTGGAAATTCACTGATCCGACTAATTCAGATTTGAAACAGACAAAACCACTATAGCGTGCTTGAACTCGAGACCTTTAGTTATGCAATAATAATTCTTTTAGGATGTCAGCATGTCAGGCAGCTCCAAGGGTGAAGCCCAGCACACCCCTCAGTGTTATACATGATACATGTATTTACGATTAGTTATTGCAAGTTTCCTACCTCACTTTTCGGGTTGCTATTTTTCACTTAATATGAATAGTTAACTATAATTATTTTTTAGGTGACCTAATAGCATATAATATATTTTGATATTAGCATATAATTAAAATATTTTATCTGTTTAGAGTACTTTAAAAGAAATTCTTTAAAAGAGCAGGGATTATTACAATTCTTTAACCCCTTCCCTTTATGTTTTGCAAGATGCTTTTTTTTCTATCTCCAGTGAAGGCTGGTACGTATTTTATTAAAGCCATGAATGACCAGTAATTAAGACCGCGAACCAATGTGCCCATAAAGGAGATCAGGCAACAATTAGCTAGACTCACAGTGTGGGATTAAGCAATAAATTAACCAGGTTAATCTGATTGATTTAAGCAGTGATATGACTGGAAGTTTTCCATTATGAGAAATAAAATAGTAGTAACTGGAATGATAACGATTACTCCACCAATACAGTTTGAGCATTTTGAATCGACTTTATATCACTGGATTTGGAATTTTGGATGCTTAGCCCACTATTTCTTACTCTATTATCCGCGACCACATTGCATAATTATTTTTCTATGTTTGTGTCCAGCTCAATGTAGTATTAGTACCTTTATTTTTTTTCTATGTTTAAGTTTTTCGATCTAACAGTGTACACATTATTATACCATCAAATTTAGTTGACCTACGATAAATAACATATAATTGTTCATATACCGAGAATGTGAACCTAGCATTGTGTTCATTCTTCACCACCTTTAACGATTTATGTCCATTCTTTCTTAGTTCTTCATGATTGTGATGGACTGATGGTTGGATATTTCTTTTTGCTTATTCATTGGTTACTATATATAATACTGCTCCGAGTTAAATTATATCAAGTGAAATATACAAGTAAAAAAATTAAAGAACCTAATTTGAATGATAAGCAAATGTCAAGCTTGATATATATAAAGTTTAGTGATATGTGGAAATCTTCCACATTGGTATGAGTTCAACGCTTACTGTCCTCTACTTCTCCTTCCTTCCCCATGTAATATATATATATATATATATATATTTTCCGCAAAGACTAGCAACTTGTAAAGCAGTAAAAGGGTTGACAGTACTAAAAAATAGAGAATTCCGAGCGAAACTTTCCGACCGAAAATTATAGTCGGAAATTTCCAACGGTTTCGGTCGGAAAAGCAAAAAAAAAATATTGTTCAATTTTTTTATTATAATATTTCGACCATATTCCGACAATGTTAGTCACAAAGTTTTGGCGCAAAAAATCGGAAAAGTTGTTTGCGACCGATTGAGT